CACCCCATGCCCGGGTGAGCTTGCACTGGCTACCCTGGGCCCCGTCTCCTGTCCACCCCGTCCCTCCCCTCTTGACTCCCTCTTGGGGACGGAAACTACGTGGGGCTGCCACCGAGACAATGCTGACGAAGGTCTCGCCAAGTGGAAAGGGCACGCCAGGCAGGGGGCACAGCCGTGCAAAGGCAGGAGGCAGGAAAAGTCTGGGCTCATTGGGTGAACAGCGAGAGGTTCATGGCTGCTGAAATCGACCCTGACTGCTGGGGGGGTGGGGAGTGACAGAGGGGAGCGGTAGGGCGGAGAGAGGGCCCAGGCTCTGCCTGGGGTGCAGGAAGGGCGGGGGGCTAGCCGTGAGGCTCAGAGGTGCGTGTCTCCGCAGGCCCCGGGCGCCCCAGGCCTCAGGACCCCCTCCTCCAGGATCCAGCCGAGCCAGGTGAGGCTGAAAGGGCTCGAGGGGGCAGGGCCGAGGAGGGCAGGGTGAACCCTGGAGGGGCCTCGAGGGGGAGGGCGGCCAGGACTTGTCCCTTGTGACGCCGATGCCACCTTTCTAGGGCCGTGTGGGGAGAGGCGCCCGAGCGCTGTCAACGTGACGCGGGCCCACGGCCGCATTGTTGGGGGTAGCGTCGCCCCGCCGGGGGCCTGGCCCTGGCTGGTCCGGCTGCAACTCGGAGGGCAGCCTCTGTGCGGCGGCGTCCTGGTGGCGGCGTCCTGGGTGCTCACCGCGGCGCACTGCTTCGCGGGGTACGTTGCGCCCAGGCCCCTGACCAGCCCACATCCCCAGTGCGTGGTCCGACTCTTCCGGGGTCGTCGGGCGGGCGACACGCGCGAGGGCCGGTCTCTGCTGCCCCCTGGCGGCGGCCGCCGCCCTCCCCAGCTCCCGGCCTCAAGGCGCCCGCGCCGCCCAGCCTGGGCTCGGACGTCGGGGGACGCCGGGCCCGGCTGGTGGGCCTACTGGGGGCCACCGCCTCTCCCCGGCCCACCCTCCCTGCCCCGCGAGAAAGAGCGGAGAAAGAGCGAGCCCGGCGTGCGGGCGTGCTGGGTGGTGCCCGTGCGCGGAGGGCAGGGTCTCCGGGGGACTCGTTGCCCCCTTGTCCTGAGCCTCACCCGCCGCTCGCCCCGCAGCGCCCCGAACGAGCTTCTGTGGACGGTGATGCTGGCCGAGGGGCCCCGGGGGGAGCAAGCGGAGGAGGTGCCGGTGAACCGCATCTTGCCCCACCCCAAGGTGAGCGAGAGGGCAGCCCCCAGGCTCTTGGCGTTGGGAACAGCACCCCCACCCCACGCTTCATCGATTTTGCGCCGCCACCCCCTCCGCAGTTTGACCCGCGGACCTTCCACAACGACCTGGCCCTGGTGCAGCTGTGGACGCCGGTGAGCTGGGCAGGGGCGGTGCGCCCTGTGTGCCTGCCCCAGGGGCCCCGGGAGCCCCCAGCCGGCACCGCTTGCGCCATCGCGGGCTGGGGGGCCCTCTTCGAAGGTATGGGGCAGGCCGGGGCCTGGGTGAGCCGCGGGTGTGAGTGGGAAGAATGGGGGGCTAGGGTGATGGAGTTGGGGAAGCCCGGGCATAGGGAATCTGAGCTGTACCCCAACGCCTTCGCAAAATGCTGTGTGATCTTGAAAAGGGGGAGGAATCAAGGAGGGCTGTGGGAGGGGGGGACCCTGTTAGCGAGGCCCCTGCCCTCCAGGCCTGAGCCTCCCTCCACCGCGTCCCTGCAGACGGGCCTGAGGCTGAGGCAGTGAGAGAGGCCCGAGTGCCCCTGCTCAGCGCTGACACCTGCAAAAGGGCCCTGGGGCCCGAGCTGCACCCCAGCAGCATGCTCTGTGCCGGCTACCTGGCCGGGGGCATCGACTCCTGCCAGGTATGAGCGCTGATTGATTTAGGGTCCTGGGTGGGCTGCTCCCCAGGGACAGGACAACTAACTTCCTTCCTTCTTTCCTTCCTTCCTTCCTTCCTTCCTTCCTTCCTTCCTTCCTTCCACAGTCTGGCTGTCACTCAACTTGTCTGAGCTTCTGTGTCCCCATTGCTAAAATGGGTACAAGAGTGGTACCCCAGGATGCCTGGGTGGCTCAGTCGTGAAGCGTCTGCCTTCAGCTCAGGTCATGATCTCAGGGCCCTGGCATCAGGCCCTGCATCAGGCTCCCTGCTCGGCGGAAAGCCTGCTTCTTCCTCTCTCCCTGCTTGTGTTCCTGCTCTCGCTGTCTCTCTCTGTCAAATAAATAAAATCTTAAAAAAAAAAAAAAAGTGGCACCCCCAGGAGAACTCAGAGCTGCCTTACCCTGCCAAGTGCCAGGCTGGCAAATGAGAGGGCAGGTCAATGTAGTACCCTCTCTTTTGGCTCGGGTCCCGCAGGGTGACTCTGGAGGCCCCCTGACCTGTTCTGAGCCTGGCCCCCACCCCAGGGAGGTCCTGTACGGAGTCACCTCCTGGGGGGACGGATGCGGAGAGCCAGGGAAGCCCGGGGTCTACACTCGTGTGGCCGTGTTCAAAGACTGGCTCCAGGAGCAGATGAGCGGTGAGCGCCCTGTTCCTATTCACCTCTCCCCGGAGTGTCCTGCTCACAGCCCTTGGGACGAGCCTGTCCTCACCCCGCCCGCCCCCAACCCCTTACTGCGTCGGGGAAGCCTGCCTCCCTTCGGGGGAAGGCTGCGGGGGCTAGGGCCCAAAGCCGGGGCTGAGCTGGCCGCCGCTGCCGCCTGCAGCAACCCCCTCCAGCCGAGAGCCCAGTTGCAGGGAGCTGCTGGCCTGGGACCCGCCCGGGGAGCCGCTAGCCGCCCCGCCCTGCGCCTTCTACGCCCGCCTGTGCCCCGGGCCCGCGGCCGCCTGTGCGCGGCTGGCGCACCAGCAGTGCCTGCAGCGCCGGAGGCGATGCGGTCAGTCCAGTTCCCAGGGCTGGGCCGGGGACCGGGGGCCTGGCCCACGTCTGACCGCCGCTCGGACCCTTGTCCCGTCCGCAGAGCTGCGCTCGCTGGCGCACACCCTGCTGGGCCTGCTGCGGGGCGCCCAGGAGCTGCTCGGCCCGAGCCCAGGGATGCGGCGCCGGGCCCCGGCCCCGGCTCGCCCCGCTCTGTCGCTCCTGGAGCTTCCCAGACACCCCGCCCGCGAGCAGCGGCTGCACCCAGGTACCTCGCGCCTTCACACTCCAGCCCCAGCACCCCCCACCACCAATTGCGCGGCGGAGGCGACCCCCTAACGCGGCGTCTCCCCAGGATCGCGGGCGGCGGGCGCTCGGTTCCCGAAGCGGAGGCCAGAGCAGGGCGAGGAAGTGAACGGTAATGCCGCCCCCTGCCGGCCTTTGCCGGGAGAGCAGCAGGCCAAGGGTCCGGCGAGGCCCTGAGGGGATTCTTGGGGCAACCTGCAGACTCGCTCTCCCCACCTGACCCCCCCCCCGCAGTAGGGAGGATGACACTTTGGGGGGACTTGTGGCTTTGGGCCCCCCACATTGTCGACAGAGACTATCTGCTTTGTGTTATCACTTAACTTCTCTGATCCTCAGTTTCCCATCTGTAGCATGAGGAGAAATCTGCCCACTGGGAGGCCATCCTGAGGTCCTGGTGGGAATCCCACTCCCAGCTCCTTGCTGGTGCCAGTTTTCTGCTATTCCCAGGATCTCTCTCCTTCCTGGCAGGCTGCCCTGGGCTGGAGAGCCTGCAACAGAAGTTGACCACCCTTCAAGGCACCCATGCCTGGATCCTGCAGGTCCCATCAGAGCACTTGGCCATGGACTTTCATGAGGTACGTCCTCAGGCTTCCCACATTCACTCACAGTGGCCTCAAAAGGCTGACCTGGGTCAGCCCTGATGGGTAGGGGGACAAAGGGGCACCCTTTTGTAGCTTGGGGTGGGGGTGGGGGTGTCTTGGGGGAAAGGGGCAGGGAGGGCAGCTGTATGTAAGCTGGGGTGCTGGGTAGATGTGAAGGTGTGGGGGGGAGTGTGAGTGGAGGGGCATGTGGGGGTGTCCAAGTGAGCAGGAAGTGTGCAGGATTGGCAGTTATGGGGGAAAGTGGATCTGGGTGAGAGTTTCTGGGGGCCAGGAGGAGGGGGACCAAGAGCCAGGTTGTGGGGCCCTGAGCTCCCTCCTCCTTCTGCAGGTCCTGGCAGATCTGGGCTCCAAGACGCTGACTGGCCTCTTCCGAGCCTGGGTGCGGGCAGGCTTGGGGGGCCAGCACGTGGTCTTCGGCGGCCTGGTAGGCCTAGAGCCAGCCACAATGGCTCGCAGCCTCCCCCGGTTGCTGGTGCAGGCCCTGCAGGCCTTCCGCTTGGCCGCCCTAGCAGAGGCAGAGGGACCCCAGATGGGTGCAAGGCAGAGCCAGGGGCTGGGGAGGAAGGGGCACCCCCCACTCAGTCCTCGGATTTCTCCAGCCAGGGGGCCATGAACCACGTCTGGGCCCCCAACCCCTGGTCAGGACCTACCGCTCCAAGGGGCTCCTATGATGACAAACTGTCATGGCCACAGTTGACTGGGTGTGTGGGGTGGGGGGCCTGGGTCCATGTGTCTTCCCAGATGCGTCATCAGAAAATCACAGCTGCTTTAATAAACGTTATTTATGATCTACAGAGATAATTCTGGAGCTTTCTTGGGATGAGAACTGGGTGGGTGGATATTAGACAGGCCAGACAGGGCCCAGCATCCAGAAGCTGTTGGCAGAGGTCACAAAGACACTGGAGAGAGGCTGCTAAGCCCCCATTTCCCCATATTTGTCTGTCCCCCCCGAGAAATAGCAACAGCTGACCTGTCACCACTCCCCTACCCGTGGCTGACCAGTGTCCAGTGCCTCTACCCAGCCCCCACCCCTACTGCTAGTTGTGGGGAGTTCCAGCCTGGGATCTTTGCCTCGTGTCCTTGGGCTCCTGCCTGGCGGCCAGTCCCCATCCCCACCCCCTCGCCACCTGCCTTGGGTTTTCTACCCGCAGCCATGCCCAGAAGTGTCAGATTGCGTTTCCGGCTGCCGCTTCCCTTTGCACTCCCCCCCCCTCCCCCGCACCTGTCCCCTCTCCTACCCACCCACATTCCCTAGCCCTGTAGACTGGAGGGGCAACCACAAGACCCAGTCAGAGGGACAGGATGGAGGGGCCAGTGTTAACGCTGGGGCTGCTGATTGTACTGGTTGTGTGTGGTAAGAGTGGACATCACCCTGCCCTGAAGGTCCCTCAGGGCTCGCACCCAGGGCCCCTACCGCACGGTTCCCTCTTACCCCTCCTACCCGGTGTTCCCTCCCTTAGCATCAGGCCCAAACCCCCACCCCCACTGCCGTTTCTCCCTGGAGGGGCCGGACTGGTTAGATCCCCCAGCTGAGCCCAGCGCCATGGCCCAGCAGGATTTCAGGGCAGCTCCCTTCCCGCCCCTCCCTCCCTGCACCCCATCCCTGTCCCTATCCCTCCCCAGGCAGCTGGGGCCTGAATGAGGAGGAGCGGCTTATTCGGTACCTGTTTGAAGAGAAAGGCTACAACAAGGAGCTCCGGCCTGTGGCACACCAAAGGGAGAGTGTGGACGTGTCGCTGGCCCTCACGCTCTCCAACCTCATCTCCCTGGTGAGAGGCCCCTCTGTGGTCGAGCTGGGGACGGGAGGGCAGGGACAGCTTCCTACGGGCTGGCTGTCTCCCAGACTGGGATGGCCAGGGAGGAAGCCCAAGGCCCCAGGCGGGACTATGGTAGCTCCTCTCCTCCCGGGGAAGCAGGCTCCAGCATTCTCCATGCTCAATGCTGCCCACAGGCCTCGGGCGGATGCCCCCTCCCCTCCAGCTTCAGCTCTGGGGTGTGGTCCATATCAGACCCCTGACCCATTTCAGAGGCCACGCCCATCCCGTCCCTGCTCCTTGGTCTGCCCACCACCTCCTGACTGTGAGTGCTTGTGACAGGGGTTAGGCCAATTGCCATGGTTTCCCCGGGGGGCCGCTAGGAGCAGGTGCCTGGTGAACGCGCGTAGGTGAAAGAACCATGCGGGGCCTGGGGGACAGCGGTCTTGTGTGATTACAGAAAGAAGTTGAGGAGACCCTCACCACTAACGTGTGGATTGAGCACGTAAGAATACCCCACTCAGAGCTGGGGGGAGGGGGGTGAGGGTGCAGGGCCCAGGCTCCCCTGTGCTCCCTTTTGCTTGAGCATCTCCAGGAGGGGATCCTCCTGTCCTCCAGGAGGAACTGGCTTCTATCCACAGGCCCAGCTGCCCTTCCCACCACCTTGTACTAGCTCAGTGAGAGACTTCCGGTAGATCGGGATTCTTCATGTATGGGAAAATTGTCACAATGTCCTGATTTTATTAGAAGACACTCTTCTGCCACCTGTCAGAAGTTCATAATACAGACATACGGTTTCTATGTCCACAATGGAAATATGCTCCCTTGGTTGTGCAGTGTACATTCTACACAGCTGTACATGACAGACCTGAGCCCTAACTCTGTACCCACTCCCCCAAACCTCTTTTGTCACAGCTCCCAGACCCTGTCCACTTCCCAGGGAAGTGAGGAGAGCGGGGGGCCTGGGCAACAGCCGAACCTACTGCTGACACCTCTTTTGGGCTTCCAGGGCTGGACAGACAGCCGGCTGCAGTGGAATGCTGAAGAATTTGGAAATATCAGCGTCCTGCGCCTGCCCTCTGACATGCTGTGGCTCCCAGAGATTGTGCTGGAGAACAAGTTGAGCCGTAGCCCTCCCTGGCATCCCCTCCCCGCTCTGCCCCACCCCTCAACCCTGCCAGTTCCAAGCTGGCTGGCATTCACGTTGGCCCCTTGTCCTTGTCCCTCAGCAATGACGGCTCCTTCCAGATTTCCTACTCCTGCAACGTGCTCATCTACCCCTCGGGCTATGTGTACTGGCTGCCACCCGCCATCTTCCGCTCTTCCTGCCCCATCTCCGTCACCTACTTCCCCTTCGACTGGCAGAACTGCTCCCTCAAGTTCAGGTGCACCCACTTCTCCAGCCACTCCTCACCCCTGCCAAGGACTGAGGGAGGTGCATGAAGCACTCTCAGGCAGAGGCCCCTGCTCTGTCCCGATCAGAGCTCCCCACACCCACAACAGCCCCTCTGACCACAAACCTTCTCCACTACCCTTCCCCCATCCCCCGCCGTCAGTGGCCGCAGCCAATGGCTGAGGACCACCCTCTACCCACTGCCCTCCCCAGTTCCCTCAAGTACACAGCCAAGGAGATCACCCTGAGTCTGAAGCAGGAGGAAGAAGAGGGCCGCTTCTATCCCGTGGAATGGATCATCATCGACCCTGAGGGCTTCACAGGTGCTGGGAATAGCGGCTGTGGGTGGGCAGCCCCCAGACACACACCCATGGACACGGTCACACCGACACCCCTCCCAGAGACGCACGTGTGCACACACACACCTGGAACGTGGACCTACAGGCACACAGACTGACACAGAGACACCGATGGACAGACACACGCTGACCCACAGAGAAACACACACAGACATATTACCGGCACAGTTCTAGCACATTGAAAGGAAAAGAAGTCCAGCCGGAGGGGATTGTGTCCCAAAGGCAGAGACAGACAGGCCCAGTGTCCCACTCCTTCCGCTGCCCAGGCCAGAAGACCCTCCTGGGTCTGGACAGGGTCCCTGGGGATGGATGTGGCTGACAGATGAGAGGGGTAGTTAGTCTTTTGTTCCCAGTAAGCGCAGGGGTGTGGTTGCGGCTTTAGCGGGCATCCTAATGTTGTGTGTGTTGCCCCCTACCAACACCCCCCGCCCCTATCTATGACCGGGCCCAGATCTGCTATGGGGCCCCCACCACATGCCCCTGTCCATCAGAGAAGACCTACATCACACTGGTCCCAAGGCTGCTACATCGCTGGGGCGTGGAGGGGGAGGGGTTGATCTTTTTTTTTTTATTTAAGATTTTATTTATTTGACAGAAAGAGAGTGAGAGCAGGAACACAAGCAGGGGGAGTGGGAGAGGGAGAAGCAGGCTTCCCACTGCGCAGGGAGCCCGATGCGGGGCTCGATCCCAGGACCCTGGGATCGTGACCTGAGCCGAAGGCAGATGCTTATCGACTGAGCCACCCAGGCACCCCAAGGGGGGGGTTGATCTTATCCCCCCACTGTCACTATCTCTAAGACTTCTTATTTGAACCACTTCAATATTTTCCAAGAACAAAAACAAATAAACAAACAAACAAAAAACACTCCCAGAGGAGAATTTCCCCCTTGCAGATTGAAACCTCCATCCCAACCCCCCCAGGGAAAGATACCCACAAACAGAACCCTAACCCTCCTCTGCATGCCCCTCAGGCTGGCTCACTCCCCCCAGCCCCCAGTCCTGCCCCCCAACCCCTTTGTCTGACCTGACACCAGGGTGCCCTTCTGCCACCCTCAGAGAACGGGGAATGGGAGATAGTGCACCGGCCAGCCAGGATCAACGTGGACCCCAGCGTCCCACTGGACACTCCTGGCCACCAGGACGTCACCTTCTACCTCATCATCCGCCGCAAGCCGCTCTTCTACATCATCAACATCCTGGTGCCCTGCGTGCTCATCTCCTTCATGATCAACCTGGTCTTCTACCTGCCGGCTGACTGTGAGCCTCAGAGCCTGGCCCAGCTCCCTGGCCACCTGGGGCAGTCTCTCCCTGTCCCTGAGGGCGTCTGAGCATCGGCCTCCCCAGCCCTCCCCTCACTTCCTCCTGGGAGACACAAGGGGGTCACCACTCCCGGGGCTCCCTGCCCAGGGATTCAGGCATGACGGGCATGTAGCCAGCCAAGGGGAAGGTTTCGTGACCCTGTCCGACATCTCCAAATGGACAGGGCCCCTGGGGGGGGGGGTCCATCCCTCTTGGACCCTGCTTCTGCTTCCCACAGTGGGGCTTCCCAAGGAAGTTCCCTAGAGAGGGAGAACCATGAGACTGTCCCTCTGTCAGAGCAGAGATCAGGTCTGTCCTGGTCACCATGTGTGACCATGGGCCTCACACACAGGCCATCCACTGTGAACCAGTGGGTGGATAACGGGATCTCTAGGAAGCCAGGCGTGGAGGCGTGCAGTTGACGCTGGTTCTAGAAGCGCACGTGTAATCTGTGCTCACTTGGTTTCACAATAGTTTCAGAGTATTTACTAGAAGCAAGGCACAGTGAGTCCCAGGGACAAATGCGATCCAGCCTCTGCTGCTGGCCGAGACTGTGGAATCGGCAGGGCTGGGAGCATGGCCCGAGGGGTAGTAAAACGGGGGAAGCTTTCCTGGAAGAGGCCGTGCCTGAGCCAGAGATGGGTCAGGAGGCAGCTTCCAGGTAGAGAAGGGGCCCCGGGGCGGGGGTGGAGGGCTGTGGGCCCGTGACCCCAGCGGCCACCGCAGCATGCTCAGGGGCTCGGGGGGGAGGAGCTGGGCGGTGCCAGGCTGGGGTCTCTGAGTGGAGGACTAGGAGTTGGGGAAATATGGGTGCTCTGAGGATGCCCTGGGGACGCACGCAGACCTGTGATTTTTGGAGGTTTGAGTGGCAGTGAGCTGGCTAACGGTGATAGCTGGTGATCACTGAGCACTTGCCCGGTGCCAGGCAGCGTGATGAGCGTTTAACGTTAACTCACTCTCTCGCTTGGACCTCACAACCTTTCGCAGTTGTGAAAACCGAGGCACAGAGAGGTTAGGCTACTTGCCTAAGGTCACCCAGCCAGTAAGTGGCAGAGCCGGGATTTGAACCCACGTGCTCTAGCTCCGTAGCCCACGATGTTAATCAGGGTACCACCGTGGCTTTGTGAACAGTGGTGCAGGGGCCGCAGTGGGACCGCCTGGGCCCAAGGCCAGAGGTAGCAGCTAAGTCCGGGGTTCCCCCAGGTGGCGAGAAGACGTCAATGGCCATCTCAGTGCTCCTGGCTCAGTCTGTCTTCCTGCTGCTCATCTCCAAGCGGCTGCCCGCCACGTCCATGGCCATCCCCCTCATCGGCAAGTGAGTGACGCTTACGCCACGCCACGCCTCTCCCGCCCCGCCCCGCCCCGCCCCGCCCCAGCCTGCCCTGCCCCGAGGACTCCAGGCTGAGCGTGTGCCTACAGGTTCCTGCTCTTCGGCATGGTGCTGGTGACCATGGTCGTGGTGATCTGTGTCATCGTACTCAACATTCACTTTCGCACACCCAGCACCCACGTGCTGTCCGAGGGGGTCAAGAAGGTGAGGGCTCTTGGCCAACAGCTGGAGACGGTCGGGCTGTCCCTCTACAGGAGGGCAGGGAAGGACCCCACGGCATGCTTGTGAGGGGAACCGCCACCGTGCGTGGCCGAAGCGCCACGTGCTGTTACCCACGCCGCGCGAACGACTCTCCCTGTGCGCTGTTACGCGAAAGGAGCCAGACACAAAAGACCACAGGCTGCACAGTCTCCTCTTCATGAAGTTCAAGGACAGGGAAAACCAGCCTTTAGCGATAGAAATCAGGATGGTGGTTCCCCCTGGGGGTGGGTAGGAAGTGATGGGAGGAGGCACAAGGGACCCTTTGGGGACTGTGTTGGAGATCTCCTCTGGGGGGTGTTTACAAGTTGAATGCACCTGTAGAAACTCATCTAGCTCTACACTCCAGGGCTGCTCGTTCTACTGTATGTTTGCTCTACCCCCATTAAAAGGAAGGCGAGGAATGTGGGGACTGCATGCCCAGGAGGGGGTGTCCTTGCTGTTCTGGGACGACTGAGGGTGTTTTAGCAACCTGTTTGGTCTTTAGCATTTGAAGAAGAGCGCTCAGCATTTGGGGCCTTGTTCTTACTTTTTTGTTTTTCATATATAATTCATTTTGAACAAATGAGTTCTGCTTTGTGCGGTGAGTGATGAGGGAGAGTTGGAAGCAAGCCAGGCGTCCATCAGTAGGGGATCGGGGGAATTGGTGACAGCGTGAGACTCCGGAGTACTTTGTGGCAGCCAGGAATGGAGTCACAGACGTTCCGATGTGTGAAGGTGACCCATGTCTCTAAAATAGCCTTCCTGTGTCCCCCTGACCTGCTGCAGCTCTTCCTGGAGACCCTGCCCGAACTCCTACACATGTCCCGCCCAGCCGAGGATGGGCCCAGCCCAGGGGCTCTCGTCCGGAGGAGCAGCTCCCTGGGCTACATTTCTAAGGCCGAGGAGTACTTCTTGCTCAAGTCCCGAAGTGACCTCATGTTTGAGAAGCAGTCTGAGCGGCATGGGCTGGCCCGGCGCCTCACCACTTCACGTGGGTCCCGGGGGCGCTTGGGAGTGCGGCCCATCCGTGGGAGGCGGGCTGTGGGGCAGGCCTCATGCCCACCTCAGGCCCGGTCTCCACAGGCCCGCCCCCAGCAGGCTCTGAGCAAGCCCAGCAGGAGCTCTTCAGTGAGCTGAAGCCAGCCGTGGATGGGGCCAACTTCATCGTCGGCCACATGAGGGACCAGAACAATTACAACGAGGTGAGTAGCCACAGCGTAGCCTACGCTTAGGGTGCATCCTGTCTTCAGGGACTCCGTTTCCCTCAGAGACACGTACCCACTGAGATGAAGGTGTTCACGGTGGGTGCAGACCCCCAGGCCTTCTGGGAGGCAGAGCCCCTACCTAGAACGCCCTGGCAGCTCACCGCCCACAGCATACACTCGGGCGTAGCCCCCTAGGGTCCCTTCTTTGTCGCCACGCCCAATCATCTTCTGTCCCTGCTCCACTCCAAGTCTGATACTCCAGACATAAGCACACATTTAAAAGGCAGCCTTAGGTGGTTGTTCAATATTACACGACTTTTACTTTAAAAACTTCTCTCTTGAGAAAGGGGTCCCATTTTCCATTCACATATGGGCCAGCACAGCGTTGAGAGGCTGGGAGGGGTGAAGAGGAAGGAGAGGGGACGATGTAACCTTCCTCAGCCCCCTGAGGGCGACTCCTGGCACCTCAGCGCTTCTTCGCACCCTGGAGCCCCGCAGCAGGGTGAGGAGCGAGGCTGTGACTCCACTCTTGGTCTCCTGGACAGAGACCCCGGCTTCAGGGGGGACACACCAGCATGTCCCATCTGCTGCAAGCCTGGGGTAACCCACACAGATACACCAAAGCCATGTCTCTGTCATTGGGCCCCCAGCTTGGGGCGTGGGCCCGCAGTTTGTGAGCCTTCCTCACCCCACTGTCTCTGCCCCCCTGCTCCCAGGAGAAGGACTGCTGGAACCGAGTGGCCCGCACAGTGGACCGACTCTGCCTGTTTGTGGTGACACCAATCATGGTTGTGGGCACGGCCTGGATCTTCCTTCAGGGCGCCTACAACCAGCCTCCACCTCAGCCCTTCCCCGGGGACCCCTTCTCCTACCACGAGCAGGACAAGCGCTTCATCTAGAACAGGTCTGCCCTGTCCTGCTGGCCCAGCTCCCAGGCAGCATCGGGTGGAGCCTTTGACCTTACAGGGATGAGCCAGGTGGGGGGTGGGGGGGCAGTGTGGACAGGGATGTCTGAGAGAGGACAAGGCCCTCCTGGGGAGACGACCTTCTGGCCCTGAGGCTTGAGTCCAGCTGGTCCTGCAAGGCTGGGGCAGGATTCCTGCGATTAAGGAAGGGGGAAGCCCCGCTCCTCACCCGCAGGTCCTCTGCAGCTAAAGACAGGGGCCACCGAGGAGGTCTGAGAGTGGACATCGGCTGGGGTTGCAGAGCAGGACAATTTGGGGAGGAAAGGGGGCTGGCTCAGGGGCCAGGAAGGATGCCACTCAGGCTGGGACCCCTTTGTGAGGAGTCAGAAAGGCAGAGGCCTCTTCTAGCCTCCTCTCCCCTAGGTGGGGGTAGAGCGGGTGGGATCCTGTGCCCCCACTTTCCTGTTCCTCCAGCCACCCTCCTCTCAACAACCCCTCAGCCTTGGGCTTCTGAGGCCCCACCTGGGGTTGAAGTGGGGAAACCTCCCTCTTAAGGAAAGAGGCTTTCAGCAGGGGTGGGAGCACCAGGGTTGCAAAATGGCCTTCCCCAGCACTTTCTGCTTTGGTGACTCTGTCTGGGTCCCTCGGGGAAGCCATGACCTTCCTGGGGTGGAAGGGCCAGGCTCAACACCCACAAAGGCCAAAGGTGAGCTTCTCAATCTCAGGTCACGTGAGCAATCCTAGAGCCCCAGAACTCAGCCCTCCCCCAAGGAGTGTCCCCTCTTGGGCAACTATTCTCCTCCCCAAAGTAGGGTTCCCATACAATATTTGGGACATACTTTTACTGACAAATTATTCATTGTTTATCTGAAATTCAAACTTAACTGGGCATCCTGTTTTGTTTTGTTTGGGGGGGGCGGGGCAGAGAAAAATCTTAAGCAATCTCCACACCCAGCACAGAGCCCAATGGGGGCTCAATCTCACAACCCTGAGATCATGACCTGAGCTGAAATGAAGATGCTCAACCGACTGAGCCACCCAGGTACCCCAGCATCCTGTATTTTTATTTGCTAAACTTGACAACAGTACCCCAAAGGGAGCCCCCAACAATTCTATCTGAAGGGCCAAAGGCAGAGGCCACAGATGTTGGGAGACATGGTAGCCTACCTCCAAGCTGGCCCCAGCAATCCCCACCTCCTGGTATTCACACCCTGTGTAGCCCACTCCCACACCGCACCAGGTTTGGTCTGTGTGACCGACAATTTTAGAATGAGGCGAAAGTGACAGTGTGTCGCTTTTGAGATTAGGCTCTATAAGACATTGCAGCACCTCCCTGGATCCCACTCCATCGCTCTTGCTTTCAGCTGGATCTCTCACTTTGGGGAAGCCAGCTGTCATGGGGAGCAGTCCTGTGGAGAGGCCCACCTGGCAAGGACCGGAAGCCCTCTGCCTGCAGCCCCATGAGTGAGCTTGGAAGCAGATCCTCCAGCCCCGGTGGGGCCTTCAGATGAGATCATGACCCTGGTCAACATCTTGGGTGCAGCCCCATGAGTTCTTGAGCCAGAGCCACCCAGCTAAGCTGCTCCTGGATTCCTGACCCTCAGAAACTGCATGGGATAGCATATGTTTGTTGCTTTAAGAGACAAAGTTGTGGGGTGCTTTGTTACACCAGAGGGTGATCTGGGGTGAACCACTGTCATCTCTTAGGTTCTGTTTTCTCATCAACCAAATGTGTAAGTCCCGTTTGTGAGGTGTTGTGAAAATCGAATGTGCTAGTTGGCATAAAGGTCTTTACACATATCTTGCAATTTTTAAAATTTATTTAAATTCAATTAATTAACATGTAATGTATTATTTGTTTCAGGGGCACAGGTCTGTGATTCATCAGTCTTATATAATACCCAGTGCTCATTACAACACATGCCCTCCCCAGTGTCCATCACCCAGTTACCCCATCCCTCCACCCCCCTCCCCTCCAGCAACCTTCAGTTTGTTTCCTATGATTAAGAGTCTCTTATGGTTCATGTCCTGCAAACTTAAGGGTGGTTATTTAGCTCATTCCTCAGTTGTGGGCCTGTGGTCTCCTGCGTCCGAGGCTGGCAGGGGGTCTGAGGGCACATGGGAGCAAACACAGAGGACCCAATTATTCTCCCCCTTGACGTACACACTTAAGGTTTTCACAGCTCAACCCATTTCCCTCAGAGGGAATTGGTGACCTCATTAGCTCAGGTACACAAAAGGTGAGATTTTTAGTCTTTCAGTGGAAATGAACAAAAGACAAACCTCTTTTCTTTTTACTTGACTATAAAAACTTTTATTCATTAGTACTAGAAGTTGGGCCCACCGCCACCGGGGAACCCAGTGCCCAGAAAAAGACAAACCTCTTAAGGGCAAAACTGATCCCCTAGTTACTTCTGACTTCCAATATGAACCGTGCACAGATTCGAGGTACAGATCTTTAAATTTTTTTCCTTCTGAATAGGGAAAGGAGCTTGGACTTACACCCATGGCATGAGCAGGAAGTCCAGGACCTCCCTGCAATTATCCTCTATGAGAGGGTCCCCAACTCCAGCACCAAGAGAGGCCCTGAATCAGATCCCTCAGCCGCTGTCCTTGCTTCTCTCTGCCACATGATGGCACTGTTGGCAACCTCCAGCTGAATCCTCTGGTGTCAGGCCCTGCTCAGGTGGCCGTGAACTTTCCCCAAGAAGACAACCCCAAAATGCCACACCCGGCCAAGAGTACCCCGTGCACAGTTTCCCAGGGTCCCAGCAGGACCCCCAACAGCACACATTCCTCCAGCACTGCAGCCCCAGGGTGCTGTCAGCGCTGGTCCCCACTCTGGGTGGGACGTGGAACTCTCCCCGGGGAAGTCACACCCACAAGGGGCCAGCTTCCTGTGAAGCTACAGGGTGTCCCTACGCACTCTCCCCAGGCCATCAGGGCTACTCACTCTCCTCCAAAAAGTGATGAATCGGGGCGCCTGGGTGGCTCAGTCGTTAAGCGTCTGCCTTCGGCTCAGGTCATGAGCCCAGGGTCCTGGGATCGAGCCCC